CTAAGCTTTCGTTCAATTCGTTGGGTCTCTCTGGCGTGTGATGGTGGTCTGGTCTCGCACGCAGCACCACTTCCGTTGTTAAAACGTGCTGCGCTTTGGCTCAGAGGTGGTTTCGTGCTCGCATAACTCCATTTTCTACGCTGCGTCCTGCCTCCTCCTCCTCCTCGCTCGCCGTCGCCGTCGCCGTCGCCGTCGCCGTCGCCGTCGCCGTCGTCGTCGTCGTCGTCGTCGTCGTCGTCGTCGTCGTCATCGTCGTCGTCGTCGTCGTCGTCGTCGCCATCGTCGTCGTCGTCAGTCGTCCTCCAGGAGCCTCCAAGAGCAGAGCGTCCCTCGCACCGTGGGCGAAACACGTATCCGCATTATCCGCGGCCTGGCTGGCCGGGCCCCTGGGCCGCGACCCCGCGGATGCGGAGTTTTTTTTTGCCTGCGGAGGCCCCGCACGGCATGTGCCCGTGCGACTGCGCATCGGCGGGAGCGCGCTCTGGAGTCCAGACCGCGAGGGCGCGGACTCGGATAGGTTCGCCGCTTGTGGGTCCCGAGTTCCGAGCGCAGGCTCCTCCTCTTCCTCCTCCTTCTCATCCTCCTCCTCCTCCTTCTCCTACTCCTCCTCCTACTCCGTCTCGCTCGTCGCCGTCGTCGTCGCCGTCGTCGTCGTCGTCGTCGTCGTCGTCGACGCCGTTCTCCAGGAGCCTCCAGGGGGCAGATTCCGAGCGCAGCGACAGCTCCTCGTCGGAGGAGTGGCCCTGGGGCCACCTCTGGCGCGGGCGGCGTGCGGGGGGGCGCGCGGCGCCGCCCGTGGCCGCTGTGGCCGAGGGTCCCTCTGGCGTGCTGCGCCGCCCGTGGCCCTGTGGCTGCCGGCCCCGGGCGCGTCGGCCTGTCCGAGGGGCAAGCGCGTTTCGGCGGCGAGCGAGGGGGGGAAGCGAGGAGGGGCGGGCCCTCTCAGAGCGCTCAATGGTCCCCCAGCCCTCGGAGCAGTTGTCTGGGCCTCTCCCGAAGACGCAGAAGGCCTCTCAGAAGCTGCGAGGGCTTCTGAGAAGCCCCGCCGTCTTCTGGGAAGACCTGCGTCTTCTCACTTCCCCCCCCCGGCGCTCGCCGCCGACAGCTCGCCATGAAGCAGTCGGTTCTCAGGCAGGCGCAGGAGCTCCAGGCCTCCCGAGTGGGGTCCGAGCAGATGGGGCTGGAGGAGAGCGCGCATCGCCGATGCACGCCGGTAGCGCCGCTGCATCGCGGACGTCGCCGATGCATCACCGGTGCATGGCCGATGCGTCGGCGATGCGACGCGGTCCTCCGATCCCATGTGCTCGGGCCCCATCTTGGAGGCCTCTTTTGGAACGGGATCCCGTTAAGTTCATGCCAAAGCTAGTTACGCAGTTGTGCTGAATTCAAGCTTTGTTCGATATCGGAGGTTGTCAATTGGTCGCGTGATGAATGCGGCCTTGAGGCCTGCTCGGCAGGCTTGAGGGAGGCTGCCTGGCCGGCCTGTTCGGCCTCGAGTATGGTTGGCTGCAGGGGTCTGGAGCAACAGCAGACCACCACCTGCCCTACGTACAGCCACGTACAGCCACGTACAGCTACGACCCTGCTTGTCTGGCCAGTAGCCATAGAAAACGTGTGGTGATTTTTTGTTGCTGGCCACCGGTAGCCAAAAAAAAACGTGTGACGTTCCATTGTTGTTTTTACGTCTTGATGGCCGCCTGTGGCCATAGGAACGTGTGGAGCTCCTCTGAGCACGGGGGGTGGGGCTCCCAGGCCGGGGAGCCTCTTTCACAGGAGGCCGAGGCCCGACACGGCCAGCACAGCCGCTTCGTGCCTGAGCCAGCGCAGGGCTCGACCAGGCAGTATTTGGGAGATGTCGTGGGCCGTTTTCGTTTCGATGTCGCTTCTGCAGCAAAGGCGGAACGAATCAGCCGCGCGCAGAGGGGGGTGGGGGGCGGGGGGAGGGCTTCTTAGAAGCACCCCTGCTTCTTAGAAGGCGCGGGCCTTATCTAAAGACGTAAGGCCGGCGCCTTCTAAGAAGCAGCCTCCTTCTAAGAAACCCTCCCCCCTCCATCCACCCCCTTGTGCGCGCCGCCAAACGAAGACAAAACGAGGATCACCGAACACAAAACGAAAACGATAAACACTGTTTAGCTGGAGCCCTGATCCAGCGTTCCTCGCGGTCGCCCGAGGACTGTACCCCATCCACCTCTCCACCAGCTCTGACAGGCCCCCGCGCCACTGGAAAGCCGCGATCGCCCAAGGTGGAGCGATCCATGCGGTGTCAGACGCCAACCCGCAGGTCATTACAACAGGGAACTTGCCGCGCCAAGGCGCCACTGTCCCCTGTCTTCCGCTGGGGCCTGGGGGGCTGCGTGACTGCATCGGATGTGAACGAGCAAGACGCAGCTATACAAGCAGTATAAACTGATTCGTGGATCGACGCCAGGCCGCAATCGACCTCCCTACCCAGGGCCACCGAAACGGGTACTCAGCAACGGGTCTTTCGGCAGCGCGCGGGAAGGTTGGAGGAGAGTTGCATGAGTTCCGGGATGTTGCAGGAGAGTGACAGGAAAGCGGCCGAGGAATGTACCCCATCCACCTCTCCATCAGCTCTGAAAGGCCCTTTCCCTTGTGGCGGCCCCTTCCCTCGTGGCGGCCCTGAAAACATAACCCCTCCAGGGGATGCGAAGAGGAGCCTCTCGAAGGCCCACACACAAACCCACACACAGCACACACGCACACACACAAGCACACAAACACACCCACACAAACACACACACACAAACACATACACGCACGCACACATACAAACACACTTACACACACGCAAACACACACACACACACACACGAACACACACACACACACACACACACACACGCGCACAACCCACACACACAGACACAGCACAGACACACACAAGCACAAACACACACACACACGCACACACACACACACACACTGACCAACACAACCATACACACGCACTGACACACGCACACACACTGACACACACACACACACACTGACATGCACACACAGACATACACACACGCACTCGCACACACGCACAAACTAACACACCGCACCACACAAGCGACAGCACACAGCACAGCATACACATTCACACACAGGCACACACACACAAGCTTTTTTGGCGTCGCGGCCCCGCGCGCGGCGACGGGACGCAGAACGTTGAGTGCAGGCAGCGGAGCGCGCGTGTCTGACCCCAGCCGAGCGCCGCGTCTACCCTCCAGCGGTCTGCGCGTTGGGCCGCGCAGCCGGCAGCAGCCACAACCATCCAGGCCTGACATCCCTGTCACACACACACGCACGCACGCACGCACGCACACACACACACACACAAATGCGTTGGCGCCGTGGCCCCGCGCGCGGCGGCGCGGCGTAGGAGTTCGAGCGGGGCGCACACACGCACGCACACACACACACACACACACACGCACGCACACACACACACACACACACACACGCACGCACGCACGCACACACACACACACACACACACACACACACACACACACACACACACACACGCACACACACACACACGCACGCACGCACGCACGCACGCACGCACGCACACACACACACACACCTCCACCCCACCTTCCCTCCCCCTCCCTCCCCCCCACCCCCATCTTCCCTCCCCTCCTTCTTCCCGTCCCACTGCTCCCGTGTCCACGCCCATCCGCCCTCAGCTTCCGTTTCCTCCTCATTGTCCTCCTCCTCCTCCTCTTTTTGATCAGCTCTGACACTAGCACCTGCTCAGGAGGTGTGAGTCGTCATCGCGGTCGTCGTCCGTTTTCTATCCTCCCCTCCCCCTCCCCTCCTGCGTCTCTTCCCATTATTCCCTCCTCCCCCCTGCTCCCTACCTTCTTCACCACTGCAGAATATGAATGCTATTTTCTCCTCTTCACTTACTCTGTCCAGAGGGTGTCCCATCCTCTCCGCGGATGGTTTTTGTTCACCAGATGTCATTATGTGTGTTTATGTGTTTTTCAATATGATCGTTGTTGGTTCTTCCAAAATGGCGATCCCGTTGCAGCGCCGCCCTCATGTTTGCGCGCCTCCAGTTGTTTCAAATCGTGGTCCCGCGGCTGGTCGGTCCTTCCAAGCAGCGCTCCCGCTGCAGCGGTGGCCTCGCTCCAGCGCGTCGGTCCTTCCCAATCGTGCTCCCACTGCAGCGGTGGCCTCATTCCTGATGGGCTTGTTTTCCACCACCACTACCACACGTTGGAGGGGGAGGGGGTCCTCCTTCTCCTCCGCCCCCTCCACCTCCTCTTCCTTCTCCTCGTCCTCCTCCGCCTCGTCCTACACCTCCTTCCCCCCTCCAACTCATGGTGGCGGTGGTGGAAAACAGGCCCATCAGTTCTCGCTCTCGGTCCTGGCCTCGCTTCCGCGCTCTCCCGTGCTCGGTCCTGGCCTCGCCTCCGCGCCCCAAGCCTGCCAGATCCTCTGCTCCCGCCGCAGCGCTGGCCCCAGCTCCGCCGGCCCCGGCCTCCCCCGGCGCTCGCCCGTGCTTCCGCAGCGGTGTGCCGCACGGCCGGCCGCTCCCCTCCCTGCTGCCGGGTTCTTTCTGGTCGGGCTGCCGTTGAGTCGTCGTCGTCGTCGTCGTCGTCGTCGTCGTCGTCGTTGCCGCCGCCGCCGCCCTCGTCGCCATTGCGGTGGTCACCGCCGCCGCCGCCGCCGCCGTCCTCGTCGCCCTTCCTGGATTTTGCGTGCGGGTACTTCAAACTGACCTGCTGCTACAGCGCTGGCCTGCTTACGTGCACTGGAGAGTCATCGTCCAACCGATTGCGAAGAGGTAGGTGATGTGCGCCATGGCAAGGGGGACGGGTAGGACGTCGGGTGTGACGCTGGCGCACCCAGCTTGTCCTCCCCCCCCCCTCCCTCCCCTCCTCCCCTCCCCCCACATCCCCTCCCCTCCTCTTTCTCCTCCCCGTTCCCTTCCTCCGTTTCCTCTTGCCCTCCGTCCCTTGTCCTCCCTTGATTGCTCCCAGGTGCGGACAGGCGACGACATAGTGCAGGCACGGGCGCTCGGAACGAGAGACAGTGCGGAGCAGTAGAGGAGCAGTAGAGGAGGAGGAGGAGGAGGAGGAGGAGGAGGAGGAGGAGGAGGAGGAGGAGGAAGAGGAGGAGGAGGAGGAGGAGGAGGAGGAAGGGTGGCATCTTCCCCCCTTACTTCTCCCTGTTCGTCCTCCTCGCAGTATTTCCAGACGGCTTCGCCTCACGTGTGTGTTCTGCACCGCCGCTTGATCACTGTCTTCCTTCTTCACCTTGTCCTCCAAGGCGTGCGTGGGCACCATGTGCACTTCCGATGGCCTTGTGTTGCACTGTGCGTCAAGCGCTCCTCGTCCTCTTGAGACTCGTCGTCTTCCCCCTCCTGATCCTCCTGCTCCTCGCCGCCCTCTTCCTTCCAGTCGTGGCCGCCATTCCTCTCGTTGGACGGCTTCGCCCTGTCTGCTCCACATGCCTGGGCTGCGGGTCGGAGTCCCCGGGGATGCTCTTTCGGGTCTCTTCGGAGCGCTCTCGGGGGACTTTTGGGGACAGTTTAGGGGGCCTATTGGTAGACTCGTGGCGGCCTCTCGGGGGCCTCTTGGGGCCTCGTGCGGGCCTCTTGCGGGCCTCTTGGGGCCTCCTGGGCCTCGGGGCCGAGGGCTCGGAATGTCCGTTCGGGTTCCCCATCTGGGCCCCTTCGTGGGGCCGTCATTGGGCTTTATAGGGCCGTCTTGGGCGCCTCCTGGGCCGCCTGGGGGCCCTCTTGGGGGCCTCTGGGGCCGTCTTGGGGCCCTCTTGGGGGCCTCGTGGGGGCCGTCTTGGAACGTCGGGATCCCGAAAAGGCGAGAACTACAAAATCTTTCAACATCTCAACAAGGGTGCTGCTCTGACGCGTGCCCGCCTAGGGCTTATGCCGCCCAAGTACCCCCGAGCCAGACGGAGCAGCGCCTACTTTTATGATGTTCCAACCTACTTTAGCCATGATCACCAAAAACACTTTCGAGCACCAAAAAGTACCGAAACTCACGGGTTTTCACGCATCGGGCCCTGGGGGACACTCGTTTGACACTGTCTCGACACTTTTTTCTGAGTGCTCGAACTTATTTCTGAGAGGTACGAGGGGAGCAACATGAGCCCGATTGTACTCTGCTGCTTCGGGCCAGCTGAATTCGGCTCAGAGTGGGCGGCAGAGATGGGGCGGCTCTCCACGGGCCGAGGCCGCAGCCCCGACGATGTCGGTGAGTCCTGGGAGGGTTGAGCCTCCGAGCCTGATTTCGGGGGCGGAAAAGAGGGGGGGGATAACTAGGGGGGGGGGGGATATCATGGTGGGGGGCATGATTTTTCCCCAAATTTCATGGCGCCTCTGCTTGTTTTAATGCGTCCCTGGCCCCCCCGCTGGGCCGCGCACATGCCGCCGGTCATGATTTGCACCCCCCCCTCTTGGACACCCCCCTCTTTGCCGCCCCCGATGATGGAGGCTCGTTTTGGAGTGTCCTTGAGACCGCACGGGACTGCTCTGACGCGTGCCCCCCGCCATCCCTGAGCATTCTAGTCGGGGGAACGTAAGACTCGGGTAAGCCGGAACTCGGGTTTGCTGACGTTTTTTGACGAGCGCGTCCTGGATTTTGACGGTCCAGTTTTCGTGGGATGTTTGCAGTGGGAGTTCGCGTCAAATTTCAGATTGCGTCTCGTCATTTTTATGATGGACCCCGTCAGGCCAACCCGCGTCCCCCGTACCCGAGTCTTACGTCTCCCCGATCTAGGTGGCGGGCCGCCAACAGCAGGATTCCGCCGACATGCTGGCGAGACGTCGGGACTCCTACAGCGTGGTTCCGGACGGATTCGGTGCAATCGGGTCAGTGTGCTACGTTGCATCTTCGCGGGGCCCAATTTGCGCCCCAAATCGGTATATTTTCTTGTGCGGGTTCGACGCGGATTCGACGAACTCGGCGCGAACTCGACGCGGATTCGGCGTGGATTTGACGCGGGTTCGATGATTCCGACATCCCCCGAAGGTGCAACAGAACGTTTGGGACGCATCGATGCGATGGTGTAATGCGGCGTGTTTTTGCAGCTGGCACAAGGTTTGAACACACTCGTGGCGTTGCAGGGGTACCCTTCTGTCTTCTGTGTGGCCCACGTACTTGTGGCTATGTGTCGGTTGTCACCTTGAATGGCTGCTGCGTAGTATCCGCTGGGGGCTTTTCGGAGTCCTCGCGGGGCATCTTTGGGATCTCTTGGGGGCCTTTTGGGGGCCATCTTAATGGCTTGAGAGTCTCGGAACCGTCTTGGAGCTCTCTGGGGCCGTCTTTGGAGGGCTCTTAGGCCGCAATAGGGCTCTCCCCAGAGATGCAAACAACACGCGATCAAGACGCGCGAAGGTGTTTGTGATGTGTGCTTGATCCCCTTGAGCCTTGTTAGAGGGATCCTTGGGCGCCTTTTTGGGGTTCCGTGTGGCATCTTTGGAGCTTCTCTGGGATTTTCGGCTCGTCTTGGGTTGGTCCCAGTGCCAGGAAGAGATCCCAAGGTTCGCGAGGAAATGCGTGTGTTCACATTGCATGCCATGAGGAAGGGTCGCGCCTAGAATGCTGCAGAAGCCTGACCAGGCAGTCAACATGCATCCTAGCGCGCCCCGTCATGCCGAGGGGACGGTGGCGTATGCGCATGACCACACAGTGTATGGATTCAAGGGTCTGGGGGTAACAAGCCCCAGGCGAGCACCGAGCTTGCAGATCGGTATGTATCAACGAATTTCACGTTGTACAGTCGGGGCCCTGAACAAGGAACCCTTTTCGTTGGGGAGGGGCTCCGCGTCCCTTAAGTGTTTCACAGCTTGCCTCAGGCCTTCCTTACGTTTTCGACAGGAGATCGAAGGTTAACTTATGGAAAAAAGGGGCCTCGTTCCTTATTTAGGGTTCCTTAGGTCAAGGCCCCGACTGTGGCAGAGCAGTGAGGTTCCGCATCGCGCCAACATTTCCCAATTTTCTCATCTAAGGATCTGGGCCGGTCAGTCGGTCTAACGGCTACGCTGTCGCCGTCGCCGCCCCGTCGCCGCTTCGTCGCCGCCCGTCGGTTGGGCCTGTCTGTCCGTCGGGGAGCTCTGTTGTCGCCGTCGCCGTCTCATTGCCGCCCGTCCTTCGGGCCTGTCTGTCCGTCTGGTGCTTTGGGCCTGTCTGTTCGTCTGGTGGCTACGTTGTCGCCGTCGCCTCCCCGTCCCTTCGACGACGCCCCGTTGCACAACATGGATTGCACCACATAGATTGCACAACATCAATTGCACAGCATAGATAGCACCACATAGACGGCACCACATACACTGCACAACATAGATTGCACCACATAGATTGCTCCACCTGTATTGCACAGCATGTTTGCACCACGTAGCTTGCACAACCGAGATTGATCTACGCATGTTGGGCAACATTGATTGCACATCATAGATAGCACAACCCAGATTGCACCACACAAATTGCTTCACGTATATTGCACAACGTAACATACTCCACCTAGATTGCCCACCCTAAATTTCACCACGCTGATTGCACCACATATATTGCACCATATACATTGCACAGCATAGGTCGCACAACATAGATCGCACATCCTGACACATATAGTACTCCGTCTGTGTATAGATCTTTGTGCTGCACAGCACAGAGTGCTAGACATATACTGTTTAGGGTCCACGCTGACTAATATACAGAGTACATTATGAAAACCATCGGCCACGCGAAGACGTGGGTCAGGTGAGGGGGGATGGCTTCTTAGAAGCACCCCTGCTTCTTCAAAGAAGCAGTGCCCCTCTCCTTAGGCCCTCGTGCGCGCTGCCAAAACGAGAAGCTGGCAAGAACAAGTACTGCACCAAAGGTACACAGCCGCAGTGCCACAGCCGACCATCTGGGAGACGCTCCGCGCGATGTCGGCAGGGAGCCGACACTGTGCCTACACAGCGGCCGCAGTCGGCAGGCACAGTGAGTAGCAGCACAGTCTGGCGCAGGGACCGTGGGCACGCTGACATCCCTTCGGGCGAGGCTAGGGCAGGCATGACATCGTTCCAGAGCCTTCAGGACGCTCTCACAGCATTCCCGAACGCTCTGAAAAAGGCCGCGGCGCCCGATGCAGGCTCCGGAACCGCAGGACCTCAGAGAGATCCGAGGTATTCCCGTCCGATGGATTCGCTGACCTGGCTTCGTCTTATCTCTGGGCATTCCGATCAAGGATGCCAGGATCTTCCCCCCCGAAGCTGCCCCCGGCCCACCAGGGCCCAAGCCTGGAGAGCGCGTCTCCGGCCGGGATTTCGTGGCAGATCCGGCCGTGGTGGCGAGGGCCCTCCAGGAGGCCCAAGGACGGCCCGCTAACACCAGAATCTTCGAGACCGGGTCCTCCTCCCTCCCTGCCTCCTTTGCTCTGGACGCCCGAAATGGGTACGGAAATAATGGGTACGATGCCCAACAGCAGTTCCTTTTCATTTTGAACAGGACTCGCTGTCCGCGCCGCCGCGGCCTGTGTCCATTCGAGACAGAAGGCCGCCTGCCCAACAGCGGCCGCTGTTGGTTTGGGACAACATTTGTTGTTGGGCATTGTACCCATTCTTTCGGCACCCATTTCGGGTGTCCAAATTCGCCCCCTTCCAGCGGCTCGCTCGCCGTACCTTCGGCCAGAGGTGGGGGCCGGAGGGGAAGCGCCGTTTGACACCAATAGAGGCTGCCTCCTCCGGCAGCGCGTGCCTCGCGGCGCCGCAGGCCGGGCGTGGCCAGGTTCGCTGCGACCCCGGGGCGGTCGCCGGGAGCATTTTGGGCATACGCAGCCCCGACCAGGCGAGCTTGTACTCCAGATTTCGTAATAAAAGGGAGGGGGTCCCAACCCTCCCAGACGAGAAGTTTTAGAGCCCCCCAGACCATCCATGAAAGGGCGGCCCTGTGCCCAGACCCCCTCCAACCCTCCAAGACAGCTCAAATCAGACCCCCCCCCAAATGTGACCCCCCCCACTTTATGATGGAATCTGGAGTACCGTTGCTAGATTCGGGCCGGGCGAAAGGGGGGGATTGGGAAAGGGGGGTTACGAAATGTGCTGCATGCAGCTGGCTTCGGCCTCACCGAGGGGCCCATTCCTCGATATTTGGCCTCCACCGGCGCCGGGAGGCGCCGGGAAAATCAGCTACGTGACAGTGAGCTGATTCTCAAACCCCCCCTTTGCTATCCCCCCCTTTCGCCCGACCCGGTAGATACCTGGCCCCGAATCCAGCCTCCGGGTCGGTTTCGGAGGTCGCCGATGCGATCGTGGATCCCGGCGGCCTGAAGTCGGGGTCAGGTTTTCGTCACAGAGTGGCATGCCCGCTCCCAGCCCCCACCTCCCCAGTCTTTGATGTAGCCGCGGCTCGCAACTCACCGTGTTTCGACAGAGAGTTCTCAACTCATGTTCAAAACATGGGCAGTCCTGTTGTTTGGTGGTGAAGGGTCGGTTGCCTCGCAGGCATCTCATACTGGTTCCGCCGTCCCCCGTCTGCCCCTCCAGGTGAACCGCGTCCGGGGCAGCGGCTTCCAGCTGCTCCAGGCGGCGCCCCGCGCCGCCCGGCGCCCTCGGGGGTGGCCGCGAGGCGAGGAGACGAGCTGGGCCGAGAAGGGCGGAGCGGGAGGAGGAAGGTCCATGGCGCCCTCGAGGGCGCGAAGCTATTCGCGCTTCGCGGTTCGGCTCCGATTCCTCCTCGTCCTCCTCGTCTCCCTTTGGAGGCGACGCGAGGGCGCGAAGCTATTCGCGCTCCGCGCGGCGCGAGGCGCGAAGCTGGGGGCCCTCGAAGACGGAGTGGCCTCGGGCCCATCCCGCCACCGTGCCTGGGTTGTGGGTCGGAGTCCTCCGGGATGCTCCCTGGGGTCTCCCATGGGATCTCCATGGGAGCGCGCCCCAGGGGCCTCTCTCGGGGGCCCCTGGGGCCTCCCGGGGGGGCGGGGCGGGCTGCGGGAGGAGGAGGGGCCCCGCGAAGTAAGGGAGGAGCAGCATATAACGCACAAAAAAACGTGCGGAGGTCCGCGCGGAGTGCCGAGGGCGGCGCGGGGCCTCCCTGAGATTATGTCGGGCGTGTCCCCTTACAGGGGTATTTTCGTTGAGAAATGCAACATACCCCCAAAACTACCCCAAGAAGGTCAAAAGAAAGTAGAAACATAGTCCCCAGACTATGTTCGGACTATTTGTTGACCACTTTGGGGGGTATTTTTTATCTTTCGTCGAAGCTCCCCCTGTAGGGGGACAGGCCCGACTTAACCCTGGGAGCCCGCGCGCTCCCGCGCGCCGCCGCACTTCCCAGCCACCGCCCGGGCAGCCCGGGGCGCCGAAGCCCCGCCAGGAGCTGCAGAGCGAGCCTTTTTCGCTCGAGGCGTCCTCGGCGTCTTTTTGAAGAGGACTCGCTGTCCACGCCGCCGCGGCCTGTGTCCATTCGAGGCAGAAGGCCGCCTGCCCAACAGCGGCCGCTGTTGGTTTAGGACAACATTTGTTGTTGGGCAAAGTACCCATTCTTTCCGTACCCATTTCGGGCGTCCAAAGTCAAGTTCTGCAGAGCAAGCCTTTTTCGCTCGAGGCGTCCTCGGCGTCTCGTCGCGCAGGGCGCGCCACCCTCGAGCGGGGCACGCGAGGAGCCAGCGTTCGCTCATCATGCTCTGCAGACGTGCAGGGCACAGTCGACTCTGCTGTGGATCGAGGATTGATGCACGAAACGCTTCGCACCTTCTCTCTGCCAAGGAATACGGGGTCGGCGGACCCCTCCATTGATCGAGGACCCGAGATGGGGAGCACACGTTCCTCGAGCGGGCACGCGCAAAAGCGCCCCTTGTAAAACAACGTTGGACGTTCCCCTGGTGATCGTGTTTTTGTTTTGCTTTGCCGATCGGCACCAGGCCCTCGCACCGTGCCCCCGCTTCCCCCCCCCTCTCCCTGGAGCAAATCTTGGCTGTTTGGGGCGCCTGGTCTTCGAGCAGGTGGAGCCCCTCCGCCACAGGACGTACTGCTGCAAACAGTCGCACTACAGTGCCGTTTTTAATACATGCTCCGCGTGCGGATCATGTATCAAAGGTGCAGGGATTTAGTATTAAAAACAACGATGAGTTTTTGCATATATTCATTCATAAATGCATCATGTATTAAAAATCCCATAGTTTTAAAAACCCTATGGTTTTTACAACTGCCCTGTAAGCAGAGGTCCGGAGCCAGACCCCCCCCCCCTCCCCCCCTTTCCCCGCAATGTCGAAACGCCGAACAAAAAGAACGGTAGCCTCGTGTGTTATTCAGCGGAAATATGCCGACCTTCTTCGAGTTCATGCCGCTTCCAGGAAACAGCGGCATACACATAATTTCTTGGAGCTCCGCTCAGGTTTCTTGGATCGGCGTTGGGACCGCTTGGCGGCACGTCCGGCGCCGCCCCTGCGCGCCAGGGAGGAGGGTCCAGCTCCAGTCCGAGAAATCCGCGCGGGCCTCCGATGATTTCTGTCTATGTCATTGTTTGTTCCCCTAGCCACCTTTCTGAAGAACATTTGACAAAAGTGAGCATGGGTTTCAGCAAACGATTCGGGGTCGCATCGGAATCTTTTCGGCAAGGGAGGAAAAACACCCCCCGACAATTGGCGTTTACTAAACGGCCCTGGGCGTTTCCTACACAGCCCTGCCCTGTTCGATGCCTTCCTTGGGTGCGTTTACTAGACGGCTTCGCTTGTCGGGGTGCTTATTGTAGGGGGGAGACTTGCTGCCCTCTGCCTGGGACTGCCTGGCCGCGGGGCCATCTCCTCGCAGCGGCCCCCCCCGCCCAATGTTGCTTCGAACCCCCTTGTGCGGCAGCGGCCCCGCCAGGAGCTAACTTTGGACGGGGGCCCTGGGGTGGGCTGAAGGCATCCGCCAAGTTCATCTTCACGAGGGTTCCAGTGAGTCGGGCATGTCCATCTACAGCAGGAATAATCGCAAATAGTCGCATAATAAGATGGGGACGATGTTTCGAGCATGTTCTGACCATGTTTGAATATGTTCGGGGTCTTGTTTTCAATGTTCGCCCAACACCCGCCTGTAAGGGGACATGCCCGACCTAAGGGCTGCAGGTCTCAGCAGCTCCTGGAGCCGGCTCCGGAGCAGGCCGAGCAGCTCGCCCTTCTTGCCCCGCCTTGGGCCAAGGCACGCGCCACCCCGCGGGCTCTGGACCCCACGGCGCAGGGGCCGCGACGGCCAACCGTGGGGAGCACCCGTGCACCCCTGCGCACGTCGGGGCCGCATCGGCCACCAGTCAGGCCATCGCAAACATGGATCAAAAGGGGGCGCGGATTCGCGACGGGTCCCGTTTCCACGGGAGGTCGCGGACTTCCGCCGCCGAGCGAGGCGGCACCGGCCGCATTTTGGGGAGGGCACCTCCCCCGATCCATGGACTTGGCGACCGCGCGCCGAACACATAGATCCCTGATCCATGCTTGCGCGCCCCCGAACCAGCCGAGCCAAGTTCGCGCTCCACGCGTGCCTTCTGGGGCAACTTCTCGCCCCCCCCCCATCCCCGATTTGACTAGAGCCTGTACACCCTAGGCGATGCTTAAGAAAACGTAAGTTTTTGGCCAGAGTCTCGATTATTCTTAATGTTTCAATTTGCATCCTAAGATTTCAATAGAAATCCTGGGTCTTTATTCAAATTCTGAGACTCTGAGTTTCTTAACCCATGATTTCTTAAGCATTTCGCAGGGTGTACGAGGCCGCGCAGGAGCAGATAAAGTGTCGGGAGCCCTCCGCTGAGGTCGCCTTGCGCGCCCCTGAAGCGGGCCCGCTCCCGGCCCTGCACCGCGGCAGGTCCGAGGCCCGAGCCTCCATCCCGCCACCTCGGCCGGGGGGCCTCCTGCCGCCCGGACAGGGGGCGGCCCGCGCGGCTTGGCCAGGTGCTTGCCGCTTCTTTTGCTGTTGTTTGTTGTTGTTGTCGATATGATTGTTGTCGTTGTCGTTGTTGTTGTCGTTGTTGTCGTCGTTGTTGTTGTCTGCGTTGTTGTTGTTGGTGGTGGTGTTGGTGGTGGTGTTGGTGTTGTTGTTGCTGCTGTTGCTGTTGCTGTTGCTGTTGCTGTTGCTGTTGCTGTTGTTGGTGGTGGTGGTGGTGGCTGTTGCTGATGTTGTTGGTGTTTGTGCTGATGTTGTTGTTGCTGCTGTTGTTGTTGTTGTTCTTGTTGGTGTTGCTGTTGCTGTTGCTGTTGCTGTTGTTGTTGTTGTTGTTGTTGTTGTTGTTGTTGTTGTTGTTGGTGGTGGTGGTGGTGGTGGTGTTGTTGTTGTCGTTGTCTTTGTCGATGTTGGTGTTGTTGTTGTTGTTGTTGGTGGTGGTGGTGGTGGTGGTGTTGCTGTGTGTTTAGGGCCTCCAAGGGAGTCGTAGGAACTCGTACGGATTTCTAGGGAGATTGTTGTTGTTATTATCATTCGATGCTAGCGTTATTCTGCTTGTCGTTGTTCGTCGTCTTCTTCTGACTATTCCTGGTTTTTGCTTCGTCTTCTTCTGGCCAGCAGTCGCCTGGGACCGTTGGCGCAGGCTGGCGGCCTTCGGCAGCGCTCGCGCCGGCCGCCCGATTGGGGCCCGAGCCACCACCGTCGCCCCTGCCTCTGCGTCTCCGCCCAGACTAGCCGCCGCTGCCGCCGCGCTGCTCACTGGAGCGAGACAGCCGCGGGGCGCCCCCCGCTGCGGCAGCCGGGTCCCGATCGCCGCTGCTCGCGCTGGCCCGGCCGTGGGCCGGCGGAGCCATGCCCCCAGCGTGGGCACGGCACCCGTCTTGTGGTTGGGCTCCTTTGGCAGCGCCCCCCCCCCCCCGCCTGGCTCCGCACCGTGGGTGGAGGAGGAGGAGGAGGAGGAGGAGGACGTGGAGCAGGAGGAGGAGGAGGAGGAAGAGGACGTGGAGCAGCAGGAGGGGGAGGCAGAGGAGGAGGAGGAGGAGGAGGAGGAGGAGGAGGAGGAGGAGGAGGAGGAGGAGGAGGGCGACGAGGAGGAGGGGGTCGAGGAGGAGGGGGGGGAGGAGGAGGAGGAGGAGGAGGAGGTGGAGGAGGACGACGACGACGACGACGAGGACGAGGACGAGGAGAAGGAGGGGGAGGAGGAGGAGGAGGAGGAGGAGGAAGACGAGGAGGAGAGGGAGGCGGGTGAGGGATGGGTGGACACCGCGTCGACCTCATTCAGTGGGCCTCCCCCGATCTCTTCCAGGGTCATCTCGTCCACCTTGTCGGCCATCATCCCTGCCTCCGGCTCGCCGCCCTCTGCCTCGGTATGTATGGCCATGCCTGGCAGCTCTCCCTTCGGCGGGGGACGAGCTGTCCATCACGAAGGCGTTGGCACCATCACCAGCTTCAGGAGGGGGCAGACCTGCACCTCCGGCGTCTCCAGCCTGGTCTGCCTCGGTTCTGCCCTGCTCCCACATGTCAGCATGTCTCTGTCTCTCTCTCTGTCTCTCTTTCTCTCCGTTTGTCTCTGTCTCTCTCTCTCTCTCTCTTTCTCTCTCTCTCTATCTCTTTCTCTCCGTTTGTCTCTGTCTCTCTTCTCTCTCTCTCTGCCTCACTCACTCACTCACTCACTCACTCGCTCTCTCTCATTCAGCTTCCAGCTCCTCACTTCCCCTGCCGATTTTGGAGGGGTAGGAAGGCGCCGATACCGTTAATCCCCGGACCTCTCCCAGGGCGTGCTCTTGCCCAAAAAGGCGACACTGAGTCAAGGGCATCGGCATCAGTACGATTTCTGCTCCAAGTCAAATCCGCTGAAAAATTGTCTCTGGACCCCTCCCTGGGATCCACCCCGGCCAGTTCTCCACACAGGAAGATCGATTTCTGACGGCCCGGGGCCAAAAGATGGCCCCTGGCGCCGAAACCTAGGAACAAAAGTATATCGGCGATTGTTTCCACTGATTGGTGTGTGTGTGTCTGTATTCTACGCCTTGTCGCCGCGCGCGGGGCCGCGACGCCAACAATTGTGTGTGTGACTGTGTGTGTGTTCCTGTGTGTGTGCGTGCGTAAGTGCTTGTGTGCGTGCGTGCGTGTGTGTGTGTGTGGTTGTGTGTGGTTGTGTGTGTGTTTGTGGTTGTGTGTGTGTGTTTGTGCATGTTTCTGTGTTTCTGTGTTGTCTGTTTGATTGTGTGTTTTGGTGTTTGTGTTCAAGTGTGCAAGTGTGCTTGTGTGTGGGTTTGCGGGTTTGTGTGTTTGTGTTTGTGTGTGTTGTCTGTGTGTGTGGTGCGGTTGTGTGTTTGTGTGTTTGTCTGCTTGTGTGTTTGTGCGTGTGTCTGTTTATGTGTGTGGGTGTTTGTGTGTGGTTGTGTGTGTTTGTATGTCTGTGGTTGTGTCGTTGTGTGTTTGTATGTTTGTGTGTTTGGTGTGTGGTGTGTCTATGTGTGTGCTTGTGTTTGCGTGTGTGTGCGTTTGCGTTTGTGTGTTTGGTGTGTGTATGGGTTTGCTTGCATGTGTGTGTGCGTTTGTGTGTTTTTGCGGCTGTGTGTTTGTGTGTTTGTGCGGTTGTGTGTGTTCGTGTGTTCGTGTGTTTGTGTGTCTGTGTTCGTGTGTGTTTGTGTGTGTTTGCGTGTTTTTGTGCTTGTGTGGTTGTGCGGTTGTGTGTTTGCTGGTTTGTGTGTTTGTGCGTGTGTGTGTTATTGTGTTGGTGCGATTCTGCGTTTGTGATTTTGTGTGTTTGTGTCTTTGTCGTTGGCGTGTTTGTGCGTTTGTTCGTTTGTGCGTTTGTGCGTTTGTTTGTTTGTGTGCGTGCGCGTTTGCGTGTGTTTGTGTGTTTGCGCGAGTGTGCGTTTGTGCGTTTGTATGTTTGTATGTTTGTGTGTTTGTGTTTGCGTGTTTGTGCGTGTGTTTTTGTGTGTTTGCGTGTTTGTGCGGTTGTGTGTTCGTGTGTTGGTTGTTTGTGTGGTTGTGTCGTTGCGTGGTCGTGCGGTTGTGTAGTTTTGTGTTTGTGTGGTTGTGTGTTTGTGTGGTGTTTGCGTTTGTGTGTGTGTTTGTGTGTTTGTGTGTGTTTTTGGTGTGTGTGTGTGCGTTTGTATGTTTGTGTTTGTGTGTTTGTGTGTTTGTGTGTCTGTGTATGTGTATGTGCGCTTGTGAGTGATCGGGTGAGTGATTGTGTGTATGTGCCCTTGTGTGTCTGTGTATTTGCATCGCTGAACACTGCGCAGCCCTTCAGCAAACTATGGAGAACCTCGTATGATTTCTCTCTTTCGCCTCCCGTGCCTCCAAGTTTCCCAGACCGGGCAGTTTTAGATGGAGTCGGAGGATCACGCCGCATCGCCGATGCACCGACGATACGGCGTGATTTTGAGCCCCTCCATCCAGCCGTCGCCGATGCATCGACGATGCGGCGCGATCCTTCGACCCCATCTGCCCCATCCCCTTTTGCGAGCCCCCCAGGTTCACTGGACAGATCAAGCTCGGCCCAAGTTGACGGACGTTCGACGCAGCATCGACGCATGAGTGGAGCGAGTGGCTCCAGGAAGGTCCCCAGAACGAGCATCTAAGCCAGAGGAAGGAAAGGCGACACCACCATCACCAATGGGACCACCCTCCATCGAGGGGGTCCGCGATGTCTCTCCGAGATGGGGTAGGGGATGCCTTGAGCGAGAGGGAGGGGAACCACACCACCAGGCGGACCCTCCCTAGACTCGCGCTGGTGGTGTTGGTGGCGCATCCTCTTGTTCCTTCTAACTGAGACCCGACCTTGTGGAGGAATTGCAGCCTCAGCGGCGAATCGCGCCCAGAGCCCTCAGACCCCATCTCCCTTCGTCCTGTGTTCAGGCTGGATCGATCTGTAGGGCTCCTGGGGCCCGAAAATTGGCGAACACGTCCGTTGAGACAAAAAGTTGCAGCGCCCAGATCTCAGGTTGCATCCCCCAGCTGCCCCACGCTCGCGGGTCAGGGCGCGAGCTCGACGGTGTTTGGGCGATTTCGTCGACCGTTTTCGTTCTGACTTTTTGTGGCGAAGGCGACACGAAGACAGAGCGAGAAAAAACGACGACAACACGAGAACGGAAACCACTGTTTACAGTCCACCCGTATAGTAAGGATGAGCGATGTCCCAAGGTTGCCCTTGCATCGGTCTCCTTCGGCCCACCCTTGGTCGCTTTCGCTGGCCGCGCCCCGCTCGCAAAGTGTCGACATGGCCTTCCTCCGAGGCCCCTGCATCCTCATCGTGCGTCCTTACGGTGAGGGCCCATGCCAAGGAACACCATGCTCGCCTCCGGGGTGCCCAGATGTTTTTGCCATGGACAGCGCGACGTGCCCACACCAAACATCCAATGGGCGTCCTGGGGTCCCAGGGTTGGGTTTCTTGTGGGAGGCTTCTTGTGGTCGGGCCTCCACTGTATGACTGTTTGGCTCGCGTCCGCGGGCCAGGCGCTGATCAACCGCGGCAGCTGCGTGGAGCTCGTCCTGGCGCGGGCGAGCGATGCGCCGGGCGAGGAGGCCGACGCCTCGTTCTGGTCCGAGGAGGGGCGCCGCGCCTTGGGACGATGCGGCAGGCACGAGGATGGAGGTTCGCGGAGGAGAGGAGCGAGGTTCGAGGAGTAGATTCTTCGGAGGATGAGGAGGTGCCCATGCCGCTGCGCCTCCCTCGCTTTCCCCTCTTTGTGGGCCTTCTGCGAGGCCCTCGTCGCCACCGCTGGTTTCGCTTCGGAATCCTGGTCAGAACGCACCCCGGGAGGGGTCTGGGGAGTAGCGGCATGAGTACCTTTGGGTGCCCCCACATCGACATCATGAGGGACGAGGGATTTTTCCCTCCTCGTGATGTCCCTCGTGGTGCCCTGGGCCAAACGCTCCACTGGGGTGAACCAGTGAACCAGGTCCAGGCTCACCGTAGGTTGATTTTTTACCAAGAGCGCGCCCCGCCATCGTCTGGTGGGTGCAGCCTCTTGCCCACAGGTAGGGGGGCTGCCCGAACGGCGGTGGGGCAGGGAGAGCGGGGCTGGCGGCAGCATGGGACATGGAGGGACTGGGGGGTCGAGAACGCCTGTCCCGAGCTGCCCCGAGATTCCCCTTTTCCAGAGTTTGGGGGGGCGCGCACTGCGGGGGCGATAGAATTGGGCGGTGGGGGGGTGCAACGTGGCGAGCTCTCGACATTCACCGAGCGCGTTTCACTACTCGCAAAGTGCCTACTCGCAAACGTCCGAACAACACATGCTTGCCTCGATGTAGTGGATCGTAGATCCCCGCGGCGGATCCAGGCTATTTACGAGTAGTTACTTTGCGAGTAGTTGAACCAACACGCGGCGACGCGATGCAACCTCGACACATCCGGCCAGCGACTCAGTGAGAGGAGTACGAGCCCCTCAAGAATTCCAGCGCGGATCCCAAACAGTGAGTTCTCGCACTCCCCAAGTGCAAGACGTGTGGTGTAGGGGCAACCAGGCGGCAACGGGCGGCAACGTGGCGGATCCTCGACAGAATTCCACCCGAGGCAGCAACGGGCGGCAGCGTGGCGAATCCTTTACGTACGCCCCAGGGCGGCAAGGGGCGGCAACGTGTCGACTCCTCGACATGCCCCCCGAGGCGGCACCCGGCGGCAGTGTGGCGAACTATCGAATGACGCCCCGAGGCGGCAACGGGCGACAGCAGGCGGCAAGGTGTCGAATCCTCGGCACATAACCCACCCAGGCGGCAGCGTGCAGCAGCGCGGCGAGCCCTCGACATGCAGCCCCCCCCCAGGCGGCAACGGGCGGCAACGTGGCGGATGGTCGGCCTGTACTCCCGAGGCGGAAACGGGCGCAGCGTGGCGTATCCTCCACATGCCCCCCGAGGCGGCAACGGGCAGCAACGAGCGGCAACGTGGCGAATCCTCGGCTGACCCCCAAAGTGGCAGCGGGCGGCGACGTGCGGCAACGGTGCGAATCCCCAACAGATCCCCCGAGGTGGCAACGTGCGGCAGCGTGGCGAATCCTCGAGGAAGCAACGTGCGGCAACGTGGCGAAGCATCGACATACCCGCCGTAGCGGGAACGAGGCGGCAACGTGGGGAATCCTCGACATCTGTTCCCGAGGCGGCAACGAGCGCCAACGTGGCGAATCCTTGGCATACCTCGGTGTGCGGCAGCGGGCGGCAATGTGGCGACGCCTCGACAAGCCCCCCCGAGGCGGCGACGCGCGGCAACGTGTCGAGTCCTCGACCTCCCCCTCGAGGCGGCAGCGGGCGGCAGCGTGGCGAGCCCTCCACATACCAACCGAGTGCTCAGCAGCACAAGCAAGCCTGATGCAGCGCCCGCACATCTGGACCTCCCAGGGGCAGTTTGGCTCAGCCCGCGAAGCGAGGACGCGTGAAGCCCGGAGGTGTACGGGGGAAGGACGCCCGAGCGAGGGCAAAGAAGACCCCCCCCCTGTGCGACCTCGCCACGAGCAAGAGCCGCTGCTACGCCCATCGGTCGGAAGAAGCAGGTAGAACCATGAAGTAGGACGGCGTTGAAAGTAGATCGGGTTCCGTCCGCCCCCCAAGGAGGACGGAAGAGGTGAAGCCACTCGATCATTGAAGCAGGAAGGTGCTTAAAGTAGATTGGAATCCGGGGGTCCAAAAATACCTTCTTTCAACGACCGATGGGTATTTGCGCAAACGCTGTCACCTCGCGCGGCGGCGCCACGCCCACTTCCCCTGCCCTCGCCAGGACGAGCGGGAGCGCCGCGAGCAGGGCTACCACGACGAGCAGCAGAGGGACTCTTCCGCTCCCGGGCCGCCCGAGCTGTGCTGTGTGTTCATCGGGGGCCCCCAAACGGTGCGGTGATCCCACCCTGCGGTCAGTCGGTGGGGATTCGGGGTCACCGCACGGTTCTGGGACTCGGGTCGTTCTCCGAGGACGCCTCGGGCGACAGGGGCCTCCGGGGTTCCAAAACCGTGCGTTGGCGGACCCTGCGGTGGTGTCTCTTGGGGCTCCGAGGTCACCGCACGGTCTGTCGCCGCACCGTCTCGGAACTCCAGAGTTCACGGCGGTCCTCGGCACGATCGAGCTGGATCAGAGAAACTATGGATTCAGTTTGTGTCGGGGTTTCGGTTTTCTGCTATGCCTGGCGGCCCATAAGGGGCCAGACGGATCGCGAGGAGGCGGAGGAGGAGGAGGAGGAGGAGGAGAAGGAGGAGGAGGAGGAGGGGCCATCTGTGGTTGTGGCTCCTCGCGTTTCTCCGGCCTGCTTCTCTCCCCTCCCCCTCCTCCCTCTCTCCCTAAATCCCTCTCCTTCCTCCTCCCCCCGCCCTTCCCCCCGAAATGGGACGAATTACAACCGACTGGTCCCAACTCCAACCGTTCGGAGCGAATTGCAACCATAAATGGGACCAATTACAACCATGGGATCTTCAGAAGTATTTCTTCTTCAGAAGTGCTTCTTTCTTCTTCAGAAGTACTTCTTTCTTCTTCAGAAGTACTTCGATTCCTTAGGATTCCTTAGGATTCCTTAGGATCCTTAGGATCCTTGGGATTCCTTAGGGTCCTTGGGATTCCTTAGGATTCTTAGGATCAGGACTCCTCCGGATTCCGTCAGGAATCCTTAGGAATATTTTCGAATCCATAGGAATCCTGAAACAATCCTTAGGGGAAGGGGGCGCTTTGGGGGCCTTCTTGGGGTCTCTTTGGGCCACTCTTAAGGCCCTCTTGGGGCCTTCTTGGAGCCCTCGTGGGGCCCTTATTGACTTTTCTCGGCGCTCAAACAAGCCCTAGAAGGGCCAATGTTCGAGGGCTGCAGGGGGGCCCAGGAGAGTGACGTCCTCAGGGGCTCAGATTGGACCTCGCCATCCCTGGGGGGGGGGGGGCTTCGATCTGCGAAACTGCCGCCACTTTCGAGGGGTGCTGGTGGGTCCAGTGGACTGGCGTCCTACAGGGGGCCCCAAAAGAGCCGGAAACGGCAGCAAGAGGGACAACCAACCGAAACATATGTCATTGTTCGGAAGGGGGCGGGGAGAACAACCGAACAATCCTTTATTTTTCGGAAGGGGCTGCTTTGGGGGCCTTCTTGGGGTCTTTCTGGGCCACTCTTAGGGCCCTCTTGGGGCCTTCTTGGAACCCTCCTGGGGCCCTTATTGACTTTTCTTGGCGCCCAAATGAGCCCTAGAAGGGCCAACTTTAGAGGGCTGCAGGGGGGCCCAGCAGAGTGACGTCCTTAGGGGCTCAGATTGGACCTCGCCATCCCTGGGGGGGGGGGCACCGATCTGCGAAACTGCCGCCACTTTCGAGGGGTACTGGTGGGTCCAGTGGACTGGCGTCCTACAAGGGGCCCTAAAAGAGCCCGAAACGGCAGCAAGAGGGACAAACAACCGAAACAGATGTCATTGTTCGGAAGGGGGCGGGAAGAACAACAGAAAACAAACACATATTTTTCGGAAGGGGCTGCTTGAAGCAGCTGACAGGCGCGGGCTACGATGACGAGCTCGCTGAGGCCCCCCTCGCGCAGGAGAGCTTCGAGCCAGTCCTCAACCGCGCGTACCGCGTCGGCTTCAAGTCCAAGCCGTGGACATTTCCACTTCCTCATGCTCGCGGCTGCCGGCCACATCGGCGTCGCGTATTCCCCACA